CTACAGGATGACTTCCATGCGGTTGTGTCGGCGGATGATCCTGATCTGGCCGGGCGTCACCTCGGCCAGGCCGGCGGTCTTGAAGGTGAACAGCACGGAGCTCTGGCCGAAGTTCACGTCGAACCTGCGGCGCGAAAGTGGCTGTTACTTCTCCTTATTTAACTATGTGTTCTCTATTCACTTCTAATCAATAATGCGTCTACATAAGCAGATTGACAGAGATGCAAATGGACAGAAATACAACACGCATAGCGACAGCCTCGGCCATACTCTGAGCGAGGCAGCCAAGCGACCTACTCCGTCGAGATGCAGACGTCGGGCGGCTTCCCCGTGGCGTTCTGCACCACCAGGAAGAGCTTGGTCACCACCTCGATCACGTGACCAGTTTGAAGCACCAGGTCTCCCTTCCGCTTGACTTCGTCCGACCCGAAGAGGCAGCCGGGGTTGAGGTTCTGCGAGCCCGAGAGGTCGGCTGTCGGCGTCGGGGGCTTCACGTGAAGGACAGCGATGTCGTCTGCGAAGAAACTCAGAGTTGACGCCTGAGCAAATTTCCCACCCTTTGACAGGAGGCTTATGACGAAGGAGTGGAAAATCTGTGCAATAATCAATGGGATCAACCATCATGTTTTTTTTCAAAGTCTTAACCTCAATATTTACAGATTTTGATTTTAATCTAAAAAGGTTGCTTCCATCAAACCGGAGGTCTGCAGGAAAGAGTGCAAATTAGAAGGGCCGTAAGTCATACGTTGGCATCTGTGCATCTGGGTATAAATGTTATGGTACTGAGGATATCATTCAAGCAAAGGTCCCTCTTCACAAGCCATATGTAGAGCCTGGCCACATATTGGATTGATATGCCGAAGCCTCAAACTTTTCAGTCGTCCTCCGGGCCTACTTATCAAAGGACTGTTTTGGTATAGAGAGCCTGTAGGGTCATTCTCAGGGAGTATGTTTACAGCGTAAATGTACATTAGGCAAATGTACCACGTGATCCAACAAAAAGATTTGTTGCGAAAAATGTCAACATGGGACTCCCAGGCAGGTTCCTCTGCACGGTATCTGCACAAATAACTGAATCCCTAAATATCCCAATTACGAGTGTGCAATGTTCCTGGTGCCATGCAGGTCCCCCCTCCCCCCAAAAAAACAGTCTTTGTCACCTCCAGAGGCCTCAGCAGCGTCAAGGCCTATCCATGGAATCGTGGGAAAGAGTTTCTGCCACGGCACAGCCTTGCTTTACTCCTGAATCCGCAAAGAAGCTAGACGTGTCTTTTCCACACTTCACTGCATTTCCAACATTTGTTTATAGTCTAGCTATAAGTCCAATAATCTTTGATGGATTTCCTTTGAACCTAAGGATCTCCCGGAATGATCCATGAAGCGTCGAGTCCTGCGTCCTTTTGGGCTCCTTATAGTGATGAGCAACTCAAGTCAATCTTATTAAGGGATTCTAGAATGACCCAAAATGCAAGGATTTACGACAATGGATTGGCTGAGAGATTCCGAATTGCCCTGGACTCTGGCGCCTCAACAGATGGTCTCTGATATACCCAAGATTGATGTGAACGAGTACCTTGCCTGGTATGCTGAGCAATGCAATACCTAATGGCTGCTGCAGGCACAGCAGACTCATCTTCCCTTCCAGAGAGGGATGGCCACAGCCTTCTGCAAATTTAAGGGCATTAACCAGGTTTCTATATGACAGCCAGGCCAGCATGCAGTCCTTTAGCCAGAGGTTCACCACTAAATTTCATCAGCTCAGCAGGGATGCCGCGGATCCCCTCTGCCTTTCTACCACGATGTTTGTGAGCAATATTTCTCATCTACTGGACTGGCGTCATGATGTTGCACCTGTAGAGTGGCTGTTCTGAGTATTTTTCTTTCCTTATGTGGTTCGTTTCGGTCTTATTGCCTCTGCTTTTTTATATTTGCCTAAAGGCAAACAAATAAGGATTAGGCTGCATTTAAACACAATATTATCTGCGTATAGCATGTTAAACATCCTCTCTTAATCACGAAAGATTTAAATTCATGTAAGTAGTAAGTCTTAAGCCTGAGGCTCCCCGCCCAGAGACTGGAGCAAGGTAAAGATGCAAAATGAAACATGGAAACATCGATCTTTGGTTCACAAAAACGGAACAGAGTTTAATGGAGCTTACCAAGGAAGGGCGAGAGCGAGATCCGCTGAATGTCGTGAGCGGGGATCCGGTACTTGACCTGCAGCGTCCTCTGGTCCAGCACCAGCAGGGAGTTCGTGGAAACCACCAGCAGGATCGGCACGAACTGAGGAGGGTGTGCAAGGGTCTTAGCATATTTTACTTTTGTGAGGCTGACGACTTTCAAATAGACACATTCATTGATAACTTATGGTAATATTATCCTGACATTCGTGCAAAAAAAATAATTTCATTTGCAATAGTCGCTGATTTGATGTTAATATTATGAGCATCACTCTCGGTCTTATGCCTTTCACCGTTGCATCTATTGTATCATGCTGGCTGACATCAAAAACTGACTAATGTATTTGTTTTAATACAACACTAAAATGCCATCAGTAGATAAAGATTTTGAATGGAATAACTAGACTTATTCCGTGCATTTACGGATCCCTCGTCCGCTTACCTTGCCGGCTGAGCGCGTGATCTTGTTGACGATGTCGGCGAACACCACGTACTGGTCGTTGGTCTCCGCGGCGAGCTTCTTCCACTGAGCGTTCTGGCGGATGCGCACGTAGTCCCCGAGGAAGGGATGCGACACGCTTTGGGCGGGAAGGGCAGAGGCAGGTTACGTGTGAAGGCATCGGAGGAGAGGGGTTAGCTTTTATCACAGAGCTTCCTGACTGATACGAACAGATAGACTGCTTTGAATTACCTTTTGGAATACGAAGCTTTCCTGTCTTTGAAAATAATGGAAGCCGTGACTTTCTCTCTCATCCTGTTCCGCGCCGTCTGGTCGAACTGGAGGCGATACCGGTGGCACTGCGGGGGAAGCGGCGGTTAGGCGGAACTGCTGCCGTTAGCGATTTCGTCATATAGGGTATTTGTTCTAGACGCACGCAGGCAGGTATGACTTAGCAAGTGTCCTTGTTTAGAAGTATAGGAGAAAATATAAACACTCATGTATAAAGACACACACACACACACACACACACACACACACACACACACACACACACACACACACACACACACACACACACACACACACACACATACACACACACATACACACATACACACACACACACACACACGCACATGTATTTTCGCAAAAGCACATACGCAGACAGATCCTAACGTTCTCTATTTCATGGTTACATTGATTTGATTTCATCCTCCATGCTTAACTCCGTGAACCCCGCCTCTGCCTTGGTGCGGGGCGACCTACCCGCCATTTGTGGTGAAGGCGACGAAGGAGCAGGCTGAGGTCGTGCAGGGAGCGGGGCGCCGGCGGCCAAGACCCGTCGGCCGGGGAGTCGCTCGGCTGATCCATCAGCACCTTCAGCAGGAACTTCCGCCGCTGGAAAGGAGGGAAAGGCGTCAGTGCGACGTGCCCCAAAGGGCGACCCAGACGTGGACACAGACCGAGTCCGCGGCCTTGCGAGTGGAGAGGCTGCCTTAACTCCCGCAACGACTCTGCTGACCGCCTTCCTCGCAGCGGCACCGCCATCTCCAACGTTTTCCTTCTTAGACAACTAAGACGCGGATCCTTTGTCAAAGACAGCAGGGCGAGGGAGGCAAAGGGCAAGGAAACCACTGAGAAGGGACTCGCTCGCTCTGCCTGCTCCACACACGGCCTAACGTTTCCCGCAGGATATTACAACATTCATCAAAGCAACTGGAACGGAAAGCAACGTTCGACTTTACCTGGAAGTTGATATAGGCGGCTTGGATCACGACGGCCGCCCACTCCACCTTCCGCTTGTGCTTCAGCTCCCGGTACTCCTCCCGCGCCTGCAAGGGACAAGGCGGTCAGTCAGGCTCAAACGGCGCGCTCTGCTGCGCCCGCGCCGCCGTCGGGCCGTCAGGCCGGCGGCGGCGGTGCGTCCGGCGCCGAGAAATGGCCGACGAGGGTAGGCCAGGACACGGACAAGGGCATACGAACAGACGTACCTATGTACGTACGTACGTACGTATGTATGTATACATGTATGTATGTATGTATGTATGTATGTATGTATGTATGTATGCATGTGTGTATGTATGTATGTGATAGTAGTGCTGTTACTGATAATCACCCTTATATAATGAAGATTATGATGATAATGATAATGATCAGAATAATAATAATGAGAATAATGGTAATAAAGACAATGATAATAATTATAATAATGATAAAAATAATAATAATAACAATAATAACAATAATAATAATCATCATCATAATGATAATAATAATAGTAATAATACTGATGGTAATAACAGCAACAACAACAATAATAATAATAATAATAATAATAATAATAATAATAATAATAATAATAATAATAATAATAATAATAATAATAATAATAATAATAATAGTAGTAGTAATAATAATAATAGTAATAATACCGATGGTAATAACAGCAACAACAACAACAATAATAATAATAATAATAATAATAATAATAATAATAATAATAATAATAATAATAATAATAATAATAATAATAGTAGTAGTAGTAATAATAATAATAGTAATAATAATGATGGTAATAACAATGATAATAATAATAATAATAATAAAGATCATAAAAATATCGGTAACGATAGCAACAACAACAACGTAAGTAATAGTTATGATGAAAAGATAATGATAATGATAATGATGATGATGATGATGACAAAGACGATAATAAAATTTACACTGACCTTGATTATAATAATAATGATAATAATGAAGATCACTGTAATAATAATATTAATGGTAGTGAAATAGTCAAAATTTAAGCAATGTAAATGGTAGTCAGTCTGCAGGACCCGCCCTCGGGTGGCACCAGGGGCAATTCCTCGACAGGGGGAGGCGGGCAGGGACTGGGGGAGTGCCAGCATGTAGGTCGGCCATCCCGCGTGAGGGGAGGGGGAGGGGGAGGGGAGGGGAGGGGAGGGGAGGGGAGGGGAGGGGAAGGGGGAGGGGAAGTGCAGGGGAAGGGGAAGGGGAAGGGGGAGGGAGGGGAAGGGGAAGGGGAGGGAAGGGGGAGGGGGAGGGGGAGGGGGAAGGGAAGAGGGAGAGGAAGGGGAAGGGGAAGGGAAGGGGGAGGGGGAGGGGGAAGGGAAGGGGGAGGGACTTACCAGCATGAAGAACTTCCATCCCTTGACGGAGAGGCGATGCAGGCGAGCCGCCTCGGGGTCGTCCTTGGACAGCTGGACATGCAACATAACATGCAATCAGGCCTCATGCACGGGTTTATCATGCTTAAAACACGCTATAATCAAAAGGAAACCGACAAACTGGAAACACAGGAATCATGACTGACAATGGCGTCCTTACTCCAGAGCAGACGGATCGGACACAAACAGGACTTTCCTAAACAGACCCGCATTCCCTCCAGGGCGCGCTTTGTCATATCAGAACGCCTGCAGTTTTCAAATAATTCTGAATACCTTATTGTTCATGATCGCACACTGACAGCGATTAAAATAAGGATCAATCTAATATTAAATTTAATTTAATTAATCAAAGTTATTTAAAGAGTCTATCAATGTAAAAGTTTTTGCCTCCGTCTATAACCTTTGGAAATCAGCAATAGCAGGACTTAAATTGGTTATGCAAATTAACTATAGTGAAGCACAAGTCATTTCACACGTTTAGTAAACATTCCTTCTTTGTGCTATAAAATAAAACTAAGCAATTATTTTTTCAAAAATTGTTTGCAGTATAATCATGTTACAATCGATTGCCATAAACTGTTTGAATTACACAGCTATTGAATTACTACTATCACATCGCTGTGAATTAGTAACTGATACTCTATTGTCATCATTATCATTATCATTACAGCCTTTTGCAATCAACTATTGCTCCAGTGCGGTTCTACAGCTGCCAGAGGGTCGGCTCCTGTCCTGACGCTGCGTTTAGCCAGAAGGGGTGTTGTTAAAGGAATGACCTACTTTGTAGAGAAGAGACCAAATGAAATAGCCTGAGAGAAGCGCTTATCGCCAAAGGGAGAAATAAAATACATTGGCAAAGCATGCAGCACTCGTGGCCATCGTTGGAGGCAGCTCTAGGCAGCTGGAGAGGCTGGGCCACGCAAGGAGCTCGGCGCAGCTTGTCCTGGCCACAACGCTCAGCCGAACTGAACTGCACGATGGCCGCCTGCAATGGGCGTCTGCTATGGGCGTCAGCTATGGTCGCCTGCAATGGGCGTCTGCTATGGGCGTCTGCTATGGGCGCCAGCTATGGTCGCCTGCAATGGGCGTCTGCTATGGGCGTCAGCTATGATCGCCTGCAATGGGCGTCTGCTATGGGCGTCAGCTATGGTCGCCTGCTATGGGCGCCGCAGAGAGCGGCTGGCCAGGCGGGGAGAAAAGCACCGACACCGCAGGAGCTGAGCGGGAGCCCGGTACAGCGAAACTCTACTTACCGCCATGCGTCCCGCCTGCGTCCGCCGCCGCAGCCGCGATAAAATGTGCACATGAAACGATAATGGCTTGGTTAAAGGGACCTGGCCGTCGCTGTCGGGGAAATTGTCATCATGTTTCATCATACTCAGAGGCTAGGCTATGCTGCTGTCAGTGGTCGCGGCGCTTACTTACATACATACTTATACGACTGTGAATATACATATATACATATATAAATACATAAATATATACATTTACACACACACACACACAAATATATATACATATACATATACATATATATATATATATATATATATATATATATATATATATATATATATATATATATATATATATATATACATATATATATATATATATATATATATATATATATATATATATATATATATATATATATATATATATATATATATATATGTATATATATATATATATATATATATATATATATATATATATATATATATATATATATATATATATATATATATATATATATATATATATTTACTGAACATGCATTACTTGCATTTCACTGGTCGTAAATAGACCTAAAATTGCATTCGATTTCAGAAAAAAAAACTTACCTCAGCGAATCTAAGTAGCCAGCAGAGCGGGCCAAGCCCTTGCTCGGCCCCGCCCTGCCCGGCAGCGCCTGCCTCGCCGCCTCGCACCGAAGCGCCGGGCTGCCCTGTTTCCCGCAGGGAAGTCGGGGCAAGCGGCCGAGGTCGTGAGGTCAGCCACTCGATCGCGAAGGTCTAATGACTCCGTAAACACCTGAATTCATTCGCCTTCCGCAGCGGTCGGAGGCAAGCTCAACAAGGGCTTAAAATGAACGCTCGCGTCTCTGGCGCTGCGAGTCATAACATGCATTTTTCCAGATCAAATGTTGGTGTGATTTTCCTGGACCCATGGTATCAGTAGGTCT